GCGCCCGCGATATCTAGGCCCCCTCATCGTTGTCTCGCGCAACAAGGGCGGCGCATACATCGTGTGCGAACTCGACGGTACAGTCCTCGATCGACCCATCGCAGCATTCCGCGTCATTCCGTATTTCGCGCGCAAATCCATTCCAATTCCCGAAGATCTCGAAGATGTCTCGACCGAGCGTCTTCGAGAACTCGAACTATCGAATTCTCTAGGCGACGATGACGATGATGAAGTCGAAGAAGCCGAAGAACGCGACGAATAGAGGTTCTTCCCTTACTTGTACAACACGATACGTACTTTCTTCTCTCCATTCCTGCTCTCACGTTACGCGATATGCTTGATTTTCTCCTACGTTTCAGACCATCCCTTGTACGATTACCTTCGATTCAACTCGATAGTCGCGACATCGTTCGACGTTCTACGAACGATTCGATTCGACCGTTGCGCGGAGGCCCACCTTAGACGAGTCCTCCTAGGCTGTGATGACCAACTGAGCCTATATTCTCATTGTCCATTTCCCCTTGCTACGAACATTCCTATTTTTCCTTCTATGTCCTTCGATCATATTGCGACTTACTTCGAACACACTTATTTTCATTTCCTTTTCTTAGTTCACGCTAGGTTCCATCTAGGCCAAGGGGCGCATTTTCCATTTCGACCATCTATGCAATGTTCTACGACTAGAAGACAACTACGATACAGGACGACCTGCGCCATCGCCTACTCATCGTCGACAGCCCCGCGCACGAAACCGATTCCGCCCTTTGCAAGCGCGGCCTTCTCCATCTTCTGGAGGTCGAGGTCCATGTCATGGAGGAGCGCTCGACGGCGCGCGATGTGAGCGCGCTCCTCGCGGATGACGCGGATGATCCCCCGAGATTCGTCGTCGAGGTCGAGCGCATCGAGGTCGTCCTGCTCGAGCCCAAGGCGGCTGGCCCCATCGAGAGGCCGTCGTAGAAGGGGGCGCGGAGGCTCGTCGACGCGACGCTTCTTCGAACCACTCGAGTCCGCGATCGAAGGCCCAGGCGAGGCCGGCCGAACTACGAAGTCGTCAGCGAAGGCCTAGGACAAAAGGAAACGACTTACTGCGCTTCTTGGTGGTAGATCCCCCACCGCGCGTCTTCTTTGTCTTGCCCAGGACAGACACCTTGTCGAAATAGCAGCCCTGTTGGAACTGCGCGCACCTATCGCAGGTCGTAGCGTTCTCGGCCCACACGCAATCGACCGGGGCCGAGCGGTAGCCGGCGCAACAATCGCACTATCAAAGAGTTAGCTTCGAACCGACTCGACGGAGCATCGAACGTACCTTTTGTCCGGCCTGACGCTTCTCAATCGCCGCGGCGGCCATGTCGACCTCGGTCATCGCGAACGGACGTTCGACCGTCCGAGGAGTCTTCTACGAAAGAGAGTTTAGTCATCGAACGACGAGAGAAGAAAACACTTACGATCGAAGGGTCGTCCGACAGTTCGGCGACCTCCTCGTCGACTATCGCGCGCCCTTTCCCCTTATCGAGCAGCCCCTCGGCGGCCGCGATCCTCGCCATCTCCTCATCAGCGGCCTCTTGCGCGCGACGTTCGTCTTCGAGGCGCCGTTCCTCTTCGTCCTTTCGACGCCGTTCGTCTTCGAGACGACGGTCCTCGGCGGCCTTCGCACGCCTCGCAGCCTCTTCGACGCGGCGTGCTTCCTCTTCGGCGAGGCGCTTCTGCTCTTCGAAGCGTCGTTCGACCCCGGCGTCGATGGCGGTCGCGAGCTCGGGCCAGTCCCCGCGCGCCCACTCGACCCACGATTCCGATGCCCGCTCGGCGAGCTGCTTGACGGCGGCGGCGACGCGCAGCTCCGTCTCCTCGTCGCGGATCGCGCCCAAGGCCTTGCGATAGGCGAGCTGTTCGAAAACAAAGGGTTAGTTGGGTTATGCAGGTTACGAAGAGACTTACGACAAGAGGCGACAAGTCTTGCGCCCACTCTTCGACCACGTCGAGCGCGGCGTCGGCGGTCGGCGGAGCCTCGAGGACCACGAGCAGCGAGGCGAGGCGGCGGTTGACGAGCGAAGGCGTCGAGGCAGGGGTGGCGGAGCGAGAAGACATCGTAGAAGCAGAGGAAGTGTGCGAGGAGGGGCGACGAGGTAGCGACGAAGGAACGATGGGATGGGGAAAATGAGGCTAAGTCTACCCCCCTTATAACCCCTTTCCGACCAAGCGTTTAGCGCCGGCCACGTGGCGTTCGAAGTCTACACGGGTTGCCAGGCCGCTTCGATCCGGTCACGACCATCGCGCTTCTCGCATCACGTGGAGGACCGAGGGCGGTCCAAATTTCAATAGGGAGGAGATGATAGGCGCCAAGCCCCTCTGGGCCCCGATTCACCTCTTTTCGGCACTCGCATCCCGCCCGGCACTTCGACTCAGTCTCCCAACACTTCGATTTCGCCTTCGACGCTCTTCGACACCTTCGACGGTGCGCGACGCTTACTCGAAGCTCGGCACGGTCGTCCCGATGCCTCGTGCGTAGATCTCGGAACATCTTCCGCATTCGGCGAACAATAGGGCCACTTGACGCCGCTCGGCCAAGCGCGCGCTTCGCTCCAAGCCACACCGAAGTAGCCAGTCTTTCCCGATTAGGTATCAAACCTCGCGGCATGCCTTCACGACGGCTACCGGTCCGAAGTGGCCATATG